CTGAAATTAAAAATTTTAAAATAAATCTGCTAAAACATCTGCTTTCAGTGCGGACACTTAAGCAGGAGATACACAAACACAACACATATAAACATCTCAAATCCAAAGAAACTCATCATAAAATGCATTTACACATATTCAGCTCTATGCAACTCGAATTCTTCGCAAATGAGGAAAACACTTTTTAAGGCAATCAAATCGTAATGTCCTTTCGACGAACCAAAACACCGCTTTAAATATCACTCAGCAGTGAAAATGCTGAGATGACATTTCCATCGTATCATATGAATAGTTCGGAGTATCTACAAGTTTTGGGAAAATCGTCTGCTACTTCACATCCCCAATTAAATATCTTTAAAAAGGTTTATACTTCAGTAACGTAAGGCGAAAATAGGTACGAGTAGGTTCACAAAATAATTGTTAAACTGAAAGAACATTACGTTCCCCGATTGGGTTGCTTGCGCACCTGATGTTAGTCTCAATTTTTCAAAAATTTCCCACCATTGGGAAAACTTGGGATTCAATAATTCTAATAAATGCATAGTAATTATACTAATCCTAAATCCTAATAAATTACTGAAAAATAATCGAATATTTTTTATTTAACTCTCCGATCTTGCCTAAAATACAATTTCCTGCTGCTTTTCGTTACTTTTTTCTGGCTTATAAAATATACGGTTAAATAAAAAAATTTATTTCGCAATACAAGTAATTTTTATGCTAAAACCACAACCAGTGATGGACAATTAGTGTGCATTGTGTCATAATAATAATGTTAATTTTCAAAGTTTTTAAAATTTCCAAATGCGTAATGAAAGAGCATGAAAAATACAACTGAGATCAAAAAACAGAATGTGTATATGAATTATATGTATATGGCGGCACATTACCCAATATACTGAGTGTTCTTATTTTCAGGGAAAAAAATTCTTACGACTTTCGAGGCATTTTACCGGACATTAAACCTATTAGAAAAGATTCTCCGTTTTATCTAGCAACCACAAACAAAAAAAAAAAATAAAAATGATGTTTTTGAAAAGATTGAGTCATTTGATTTTTCCAAAAACGGCCGCCATTTTGTTAATTTCCAAAATTTTTTAAAATTTCAAGTATGCAAAGAGCATCAAAAGCACTTCTACAATCAAAAAACCGAGTTGAAAAATATAGATTTAGAAAAGAAATTTAAAGATTTGAAAAAAATGTCGGCCGTTTTTCTCTAAAACCACAATTTGCCCTAAAATTTTCAGATGCTCGCAACTCTGTGATTTTTTTTTGCAAAACAAAAAAATACGTGTCTATTTATTTGTCCTAAAAACACGAAAGGTCGTATTAAACTTAATTTCGAATTTTGAACCCATTCATCCTGCATGAATTGAAATAGAATCAGCCCGGTAGCATACATATAAATAAAATTATCCGATGAATTGATAAAATAAAAGGCCGAAATAATTATTTTTCTAAAAAAATCCTTAAATATTTCCGAGGTAAAAAAGTGAGTTTATCTGTAAAAAATTAAGTGTATTACTCCGTCCGACCACATCGATATACATACACATACATATATACATACAGCTTTAACACCTGTCGATTAGACGCTTTTGCACGGCAGAAATACACTTGGGGGGGTTTGACATTTCCTGCCAAGTTTCCCGGTGTCTCCTACCAATCACTGCATTTCATATATTCATCCCTAGATAGGTCGTGGCTGAATTTAAAGCCGTCAAGAATAGTATAGTGTTCGCATACTGTGTCAATTAAACACCCGGCGTCCCTAGCAGCCTTACCTACGATGTCGACTGGCGTTTTTTTAAGCACGAAATTAATAGCCAGAATTAGACTGGTCCTAAGAGTCCCATTGCTGAATCCAATGAAGGCCAATATCATCCATATTCCTACAGCTTTTACCAAAATCAATAAGGGGGACACTCAGCCGTTCTGCATGTCTGGTATTGGGATACCTCTGAAAACTAATGACCTTCACATGCGAATATGATAGTTGAAGAGACCTCAGTTCTTATTCCATTCATTTTTCTTCTCTCATTTTTTATATTGCAGGATGAATACAGATGCAGCAATATTATATGGTGTAGTAGAGGACGAAGTGAGTGCTCCAGAAGCCTCTCGTTTCAATGCTCTATCACCAACAGCAACCCGAGTGTGTTTGTTATTTTTGTCGCTTGAAAGAAGCGTCTGCTTACCTCTACGATTTGCCTGCGTGTCACTTGCGCGAGCACCGCAGATATATAACCAGCAAAGGAAACCCTCAGAGCTCAGTAAAAATTATACCTTTGAATAGAATACTAGAAAGCAAATAAAAGAGCAAAGAGTTACAATTTAAAAAACAAGTGAAATTTTTAAAAAGTACTAATTAAGAACTGAAGCAATTCAAACAAGGGTCGTGAAAAATTTAAGAGACATTTTAAGCAAAGCAGAAAAGCTGAAAATCAGTGAAACTGCAAAATGCCTTACCAAAACCCAAACAAATCAGCAGAAGAGATTCCATGTAACCATTTCCATTCATCCACATATAACAGCAGATGCCATTGCCGGTGCTATCCATCATCACAAGAACCGTGCCGTCACCCCTATTGCACTGTCTGTAGACACATGCAAAAGAGGTGCGAGTTGTGTGGCGAAATAACCATAAGTGCAGACATAAAAGAAAATAGTTATGTTGCAAAAGAAGCTCATTGGTTGTAATCGGAAAGGAGAGGAGCCAACACTTGCCCGAAATGAACAGCGCATAAGTATGGTCCCAAGAAACAGCAGACAAGCACAAAGAACTCAGAGAAAACTAGTTTTACTCAAAAGCGGCGAAATTAGAATTTACAAACAATTCTAAATTTATCTAGATGTAATTTACAAATATTTTAAGTATTAAAGTGCTTAAATCGATATAAACAATAAAAATACAATTACAATTTTTGTACATACTTTCAATCTGAATGGTCATATTTATATGATGGCAGTTTAAGAGAATTTCCCAAATACTTATAAAATGCGATTTAGGGCCGTTTTCTCGAGTAGTTTTTAAGATTTAATTGCACTTTAAAAACAACACTCTAATGTTGGAGAATATACTTGGAATGTATGTACTAGTAATATAGAAGTATTACATATTTGACGTATTTATATAATTATATGTATATACAATATATATAGCATATAGTACTATAAACACGAATTTATATCTTCAAATTATTATGACCAAATAAAAGTAAAAAATTTATATCAAATTTAATCCATGTTGTTTACTTTTTACCATACTCTTGAATATTATGCCCGTGATGGGCAAAATTGTATTTACTAAAGATCAAGTATTCAGTAGAAAAGCTGTTTGGTTATTTATGTTGTAGTAAATAATCAACTACTCAAGTAATTTGGATGTGACAAAAAATAATATTTCGCAGTCCCATAGAATTTCGATGCTCGTTACGGTTCAGGGGAGGCTCGCTTATCAAAAGCCGAATGTAGGGGCCAAGAGAGCTTTCTTCTTGAACCTAGGATCTACTAAGGTGAAAACTTTTAAAATAATATTTTACTGTTGTGATAAGTTCAAGTTTTTTAATTTCCCGCCTAATGTCCTGATTTCTACAAAGTTGACCATTTATAAATTTTTAATTTAAATATTATTAAGCGCTTGTTTGTACATCGCTCATATAATAATGTTCCTTTACAAAAAAATTAAGCTACCAATGAAGAAAATCGATGGATAAATAAGAAACGATTGAGTGGTGAAATGAAAATGCGCAACGATTTTGTTGTGTGAAATATGACCAGATGTACATGGCGTATGAGTAACTCATTGATAGCTTAATTTTTGTTGTAACAAAACAGGCTTTAACACAAATGCAAAAAACTTACACAGAATCTGTTATTTTTTTAATTTCTTCTCTATAAAGTTTGATTTTTTTTCAACAAAAATCCAGAAAGACTGGAATGAATCATATTAATTACTCAAAAGTTCTCAGGCCTATTGAAATATGATGTAATTGCGGTTTATGAAGAATTTCGTTAGCTTTCATCTGCCGTATTTCGTATTATATACCTGATTAAGTGGAACCACCTTGTTTTGAGCTGAATAACGGTAAATTGAAAGAAGTTAAAAAGTCGTAAGTTCGGGCGGAGCCGAACATTTCACCTTTCCGCTTTCAACTACCGCTACATGGTAAGCAGGGGTGATTTTACCCCTATTTCAAACATCTTCGATAGGATGTTCAGTTAGACATAATGAGATAATAATGTTACTTCTTTTCAAGGGATTGTTGTTATGTATCAATTTTGAGTAAATTAGCGTCCTTAAATTTCGAAATATCGAAGTTTCAAGCATTTCTGAAACGTACCGTTATATGAAAAGTGGGCGTAATTTTAGGCGGATTTCAATAATTTTCAACGTTTTGCTTTTATCTGGCAAGCACAATAATCGTACCGAGTTTGGTACAAATTGATCGAACGGTTACCGTATGTGGACATAAGTGGGCGGGGCCACGCCCCCATTTTCCAAAATTTTATTATAAACGCGTTTTTTGCTAAATAATTATTGCAAACATCAATTTTGAATAAATTAGCTGTACTATTTACTGATTTAACGAAGGCTTTGTATTTCTCTAAATTACTGTTATTTGGGATGTGGGCGTGGTTATTGCCCGATTTTAAAAATTTTCTGCCGTTTTGGTATATTTTACCAAGGCCAAAAACTGTGCCAAGTTTAGGAGAAATTGGTTATCCGCTGTACCAAGATATACACATGTAATCATAAGTAGGCGTGGCTACGCCCATTTTCCAAAAATTTTCTAATATTCTTATTATATATATAAAAGTCATTGTAAATATAAATTTTTAGTGAATAAGCTTCAGTAGTTACTAAAATATCGCAGTTTTCGTATTTCTGAAAACTACCGTTATATAGGAGGTAGGCGTGGTTATCGTCCAATTTTGCCCATTTTCAATACCAATCGTCCTACGCTGAAAAGAAGTAAACATACCAAGTTTCGTTAAGATGTCTCAATTTTTACTCGAGTTATTGCGTGCAAAGCCGGGCAGACGGACGGACGGACGGACGGACGAGCGGATGGACAGACAGGCTTAATAGATTTCTTTTTTCATTCTGATCATTCTGGTATACATTTGTCTATATCTATCTCGATTCGTTTAAATATCGAATTCGATAACATATCCTTCCCAAAGAAACGTTTTACAATCCTTTCCTCGAGAGTTACATTTAAATTGTACAATAACTTTTTAAAAAAATATATCGACTTTTTAACTTTTCACCACTGATACATACATGTCCTATGCATGGATTTTTTAGAAGGCTTTCCCCGCTCTCGCTGCAGGATTCAAGCCAGTTTTGTCTCAGAAAAGGAAGCGCTGGAAATTAAAAAAAATAATAATTTTACCGTCTTCCTTGCATAAAAACATAAATTGCAAAGAGTATCATTTTAAAATTTGGTGCCATTATTTTAACCACAGCTGTATGTATAATATTATTGTGCATCAAACCAATGCTTACGTGCTGAAAGCATTTCACATGCCCATTGTAATGTTATCGCGCCTTTATCGTCGCAATCGCCACGTTGGTCGCAGAAATTACTGGCATTCAGGCATCCAGAAACTTTATGGAAGCGTAAGCATACGCGCCTGAACTACAGTTTCGTCTGCCTGTACCACCTTTGTGCGCTTATTTTGTTGAGAAACAGAAAACGAAAACAAAACCCAAAGACCAGATCATTCCAATACAAACGCGTTAAGTTACTCGCTCCGAAAATTGCAACAGCGAATAAAAAAGTGGTGGACAATTAAGGGTGAAAATGAATTACGTATCCGGCTAAATGTGCACTCCGGTTGCGGTACACTAAAAAAGAAAAAATGTAATATACTAAATACAAAATATCTGCGAATGGCATTCGAGATTTTCGAAGCACTAAAACATCGACTGCTACCTTAATGTCAGTGACCACTACTTGAAAAACACTGCAGTGATCTTGAATCCCAATTGAAGTTTGATAGAGAGTTTCCTACAAAAGAGCGAATGTTCCTTCAAGTTTGGATCCATCTCATCCCTTAAGGATGTGAGTGCAAAACGAGCAAGCGTGTGTTTTTAAGGGTAAAATCGAGTTATTCTAGAATATTACAGTTACCGCACTCTCAATTAAGTACCCGGTGTCCCTAAGCCTGATTGCAGCTCTTGCTAAGAGAAGGCGATACCCAGAATGAGAGTGGTCCTATGTATGTGTCGAACTGCTAATTCCGATAAGTACGGTTCGTTGTACCCCCCAAATCTCTGACTGCCGTAGTCTTTACCACTCACCAAGAGTGCAACATCCTCGGCAACCCAACGCCTCTTACAGAAATTAATATGGAGAATGCTCAGCCTTTCTGCATACCTACTTGCGAATGATCGGAAAATCCTTAGCTAATACATTTTGTAAGTTCTGGTAATTCCGGGTTTGGTATACTATCTCTGAGGACCTTCGCAAGCGAATCAATTAATTTGGCTTCCCTTTTTCAGATTTGTAGGGTACACACAGTATGTGAACTGCCGCTACCGAAGCAGTAACAAATTACAAATTTAATTGGTAGAATGGGATAGCGAAAAGAGTGCTCCAGAAGTCTATCGCTTCAATGCTCGCTCGCCAATAGCATAGTGTGTTTATTATTTTAGTCGCTTGAATGAAGAATTGTCTGTGTGTAACTTTCGAGAGCACCGCAGCTAGTATATAAGCAGCAAGGGACGTCCTCAGAGCTCAGTAAAAATTATGCATTTGAGCAGAATACTACTAAGCAAATAAAAAAAGCAAACAGTAAAACCAAAAATTAAGTGCAATTTTCAAAAAGTTCTTACCAAGAACTGAACCAACTCAAGCAAAGGAAGGAAGCAGAAGATTAGGAGGCAATGAACAAAGCTACAGATCACTAAACCAGCAAGATGCCTAAACAAATCCCAATTAAACCACCAGCACAGATGCCCTGCGCACACTGGAACCACTTTCCCATGCATCCACGCGTGATGATTGCATTCAGCAGCATAATCAAAGGCTCAGACGGCCCATTACCGCCGCCACCATCACCGGGGTCTTACTCCTATTGCAGTGCCTGCAATGCCATGCAAAAACTATGTATAAAACCTCAGCGCAGCGCAAACGTGCAGACATAAAAGTATGTAAATAAATAGCTATTTCGCAAAAACAGTTCTTGCCTTGTAATTGGGAAAAGTTGATTGCGGAAGACAATAAATAACAGAAATAAGGAGCACATACGGCCATCAAGAAGCAGCAGAAAGGCGCAAAGAATTTAACGAGTCAATTACTTCTCCTCAAAAGCGGCTACATCGAATTTAACAAACAATTCCAAATTTATCTACTTAGATGTAATTTAAAAATATAAATTTTTACAACTACCTCAACGTGTATATCGGGCGCGTAACAATTAAGTTTAGAGGGCAACAGCTAAAATGCTTAGGAGTGCGTATTGTTGTGTAGCAAGTAGTACGAGCATTAAAGTACTTAAATCGATATAAACAGAGTAAATATAAGTATAATTTTTATATACCGTTATAATGACGTGACTAGATATTTACGTGCACACATGTACATACATACATATACATATTTAACTACGACTATAGGGGGTTTCCATATATAGGGTAGTGGGAAAAGTCACGAAAATCTTAAAAGTCTCGAAATTTCAATTGCACTGTAAAAATATATGTGCATATAGAAAATAATTTCGAGTTTGAAAGAGTCCAGTTTTTAGAGTTTAAGAGAATTTCCTAAATACTTAGAAAATAAGACTTATTGCATTTATCAAACCAAAAGCCATAAATTTATATATTTAATGGTATCTACTTTATTACATATATACATACTTGCATGTGCCAGTGCAAATGTGATCAGACATTTTATAAGAATTCATTACGAATTTAAAAATTTTTTTACGTACATACATTCATACATAAATACGTACACGCATATTTTAGTATATAGTACATACTCAGGTTTATATGTATCTGCAAATTATTATGACCAAATAAATGTAAAAAGTTTATATCAACTTTAATGAATGTTTGTTTACTTTGTCTCATACTCTTAGATATTGTTCTCATATACCAGTGATGGGCAAAATGCCAAGTACTAAGCACAAAAGTATTTATGTTGTTTTAAATAGTTAAGTGCTATGCACCATTTAGGGGTTACACACACTACCCTAACGGTGTAAAAAAATTATTTTTGTTCTGACGCAGAAATTAAAAACAAAAAACTTTTGTCTTACACACATATATTAGACCGCATCGCATCCCATATAAAAAAATATCGGTACTATGTTTCCATTTGGATTATAAATTCTATTATATTTTAAGACTTTTTTTTAAATCACCACATATGATAAACAAGTTTAAGCTTAAAAAATTTGCATACAAATATTTAAAAAATTTTAATCATAAAAATTATATTTTTGATGCTGTTTTTGAAATTTTTTCAAAGATGGGTTTAAGAAAACTTGAATAAGTCAGCCAAAAATTTACCGATTTAGACTTATGAAGAATCATTGGAAAGGTATTTTCTCACACTTTTTATTTCTTTTTTAAAAAAACTTATGATAAAGAAACTTGAATTAAGAAGTGTTGATATTCGAAAAAAAATTGCAAAGTAATAAAAAGAGTGAGAAAATACCTTTCCACTGATTTCTCATTAGTCTAGATCAGAATAGTTTTGGCCCATGTATTCAAATTTTTCTCAAACCAAAAAAGTTAAAAAACAGCATAAATAATCTCATTAGTAGATATTACGATTCCGTTGAAAAAATATTATATTTTTATGCGAATTTTTAAAGCTTAAACTGTTTTGTCAGCTGAGGGGATTTTTTTCAAAAAATTCTTTATGAAACGATTTTTTATTCAATAAAAAGCTCAATTTTTGGAGGTATTTTCAAATCGGTCCAGCTCACATAAATCTTAATATTTTTCCGAAATATTTTGGTGAACGTCTTCAAATATAGTATATTTTGTAATCCCGGCAGAAAAATTGTAACCTTTTTTTGGTGATGCAGTCTAATGTATATATAAAACACATATTAACTTTGGGAGTAGTATATATGGCCCTACAGCTATGAACCATTTCCAAAGAAAGAAATAAAAACAAAAATAATAAAACATTAGCCCCCTCTTTTCAAGATTCTCGCTGAGGGTGTACAAGATGTCTCAGTCGGGTATCGTTTAAAAATTACAAAATATTTATTTTCTTACTTAGGAAGAGGTCGTTCCAATTCGGACGGAACTGAAAGTGGTGCTCAAAGTCACTTTACATAACGGTACTAGTTTTGCGGTTATCCCAAATGTAGACATGGCGTCGTTCAGGCAACTTCTGTTCGTGTTATCAAAAGCGCCTTTAAAATCGGCAAAAGTTGGTGGGTGTCGATTTACATATGTACATATTAAGAGGCTTCTCCACGATTTGACGAAGGGTAAAGTTTTTTATTTGAACTTCTGAATGGGGAAGCGTTTAAAATATTCTTAAAAGTTTGGAGAATTTTCGAAGCGAAATTAAAGATTTTTTAATTTTTTTCAGGGTGGTGTACCTCTTAAGTATTTTGGATGTTAGTAAATATATGGTACGCTAGTATTTGCATAGTTTTTGTGAAACGAAATACTTTTAATAAATGAACATATTTACTTATTTCCATAGCGCTTAATACTAACTAAATAATAGATAGTAGATACTACTAAATACTGACAATTTTGGGAATAGTTAGCGACTAGTTATTTGAGGACCACGCTGGGGCTGTTTCAGGAACATTTTGGGACTAATTCACGACCATTTCGGGATAGCTCGGCACATTTCAGGAATAATTTGGGGTCAGTTCGGAACTGTTGCAAGACTTGTTCGAATTACTTTCGGGACAGGTTCACGACTTTTCCAAATGCACTTGAGGACAATTTTTGGACAAGTTCGGGATCACTGCAGGTAGTTATCTCACAAAATCGTCCTGAACTTTTCCCGAAGTGGTTATGAAAAAGTCATGTACTGGTCCCGGCAGTGAATGAATAAAATGAAGTGAAATTAATGTTTATTTAGTATCTAACCTAACCTACTTATGTGTGAAACGAAATCGCTTTGCCAAGCCGTATACAGATGTTTACACATAAAATTTCATGAATACCTGGTAGGTACTCACGATTTTTTGTTTTTAACATGGCATCTGTAACCATCTTTGCGAAAATGTTTTTGATTTTTAGTAATACTTTTAAGTACTTAATTTTTTATACGCTAGTAGTATCAGAAGTTCGTTTTTCCGAAATTAAATACTGCCCAGAAAAAACTTTGATTCTTTGGTAAGCGCTTATTTTTTGTATCGATGGAGTAACGCATTACAACACGCCTCAAGACAAAATTTTTCACTTTCTCGATTCACCACATACCCTCTAGTACCTCGGCATATCATTGGAGGTAAGCGAGAAATTAAAAAAAATGCCTAACAACGACTTTATATCCATGTATGTACATATATCTGCAGATAATTTTAATACAAACATATATGTATGTACATATGTATATACTCACATATACATACATACGTGATACGGCGTAGTATTCTCATTATGTTGAGAAACAGAAAACGAAAACAAAACCCAAAGACCAGATCATTCCAATACAAACGCGTTAAGTTACTCGCTCCGAAAATTGCAACAGTGAATAAAAAGGGGTGCAAAATTAAGGGCGAAAGTGAAAATACATATGCGGTTAAATGTGCTCTCCAGTTGCGGAACCATTCGAGAAAAAATAAGAGAGAGAAAATTAAATCTGCTTAAAACATTTGCTATCAGTGCGAATACTTTGGCGCTACCATGTCAAACTATCGAATGTGAAAATGGGTACTTTTCAGGAGAACAAAAAACTTGTATAAAACTGTTGTTGTCATCAGGAAAATGTGTGGGGTTCGAGGTATACAAAAAAAGGTAAAAATCTGAAATCATTAGAAAATTATCATAAAAAGTATTTGAACATATTCAGCTCTATGCAACTCGAATTCTTCACAAACGAAGTAAATACTTTTTAATGCATTAATAGGCCTTTCGCACGAGGCGATTTTTCAGGCAACAAAAGTTGAATGCGGAGTTGAATGAGAAGTTGAAAGTGAAAAAGTTGCCATCCCTATTCAGACGAGGCGATTTTCGATTCAACTCGAATTGTTGTTTACATTATTTAAAATGAGTTTAAATCGCCAAATTTTATCAATTGGCGTAAATTTGGTAAGCCAAGCGTTGGTATAAGTGCTTTTAGCGAAGCTGAAAGATAAAATAAGAGTAAAAAAGTAAAAAAGAAAAAAAATATGTATACACAACAGTGTTGGCATTTTTTGGTACAATTGTACTTGTTTGATACAATTTCATTTACAATATACTTTCCTACTACGCA